TATTTTAGTATTTTATTAACAAATAAATAAATATATATATATATTATTTTAATAAAATTATAACAAAATAGTAGATATTTTGCAGCTCTTTATCCTAAAACCGTAAAAGGATAGCCAAAATTATTTTTAGACTCTGCCTTAATGTTTAAAATTTAATATTTAATATCGAATTTATTGAAAGACACAAAGTCATTTGAGCGCAACTATCGCAATGAGATAGGAAATTCAGAGATACTTCATTTTTAGTTTAGAATATTATTGATAATGTTCCAACAGTGAATTATTTACTTTGAGAAGGTGGTACTTTTATTTGTGGTTGTACAGTTGCCGGACAAGTTACTTTCTGTATAGCACTTCTCAAACGGGCATTGAGGTCTTCAAACCCATTCACGTGAAACGTCCGTTTCTTCGATCCTAAAGCAAGAAAAATCGAGAAAAATTCACTCTACTAAAAATTTGTTCACATATTTTGTTTAAAAATTTTTGAAAATGAATATAAAGTAAGTACCCGAAATGGTCTGTAGTTCAGAATCCAATGCATGGTTGGTTACTCCAACAGAGAAAATTTGTAAACGTTGGTGTAGTGCTTTTTGAACAGGTATAGAAACGTTATCTTGTGATCGCCCATCAGTGATTACAATTATTATACGTTGCACTCCGGCATTTATTGGGCGTGCTCCACGTCGTTCAGTAAAAACTTCATCAATTACATGCTCAATAGCTGCACCCGTTCGAGTTAAACCTGTCAAATACCTAAAATACAAGATATTATCAATTACTAGCTCAAAATGAATCAGTCAAGCAGTTACTTCGTGTTTGAGAATTTTTGCATTGACAAGCCACAAATTTGATTATTAGTTGCAAAATTGATAGTTTTTTCTTTTCTACAGGTTAATATTGAAATACTTGGATATTTTTAAGCTGTTAATAAACTAACTCTATCTGATCAATAGCTTGTTTCAACTGCTCTGCTGAAGAATACTGATTCAAATCAAATTCATGTCTAATTCGATCTGAATACTGCATCACGGCAACGCGAGTTTTTTGAGGCGAAACATCGAAAAGCTCAATAAATTCTTTCACAAAGCGAAGTATCTAAACAATAGTAGAGTTTAAACACAGAAATACGCAAAAATATGCAAAATATTGTGCACAATATTAAATTTCAGTACTTCATAAACTAATTACCAAAACACTTTGCAATTAAGTAATATATTCATGCTAAAATGCATCATGAATAGGTAATTATGCACATACTTTCTGTCTATTATTGGATTTATTGCAAAAGATTGAAATTTTGATAAACCTCTTGATGAAAAGTTTCTGAACCGATAGAACCACTTCCATCAATCAAGAATACAAGATCAGTTGGTTGAGCTGGACTTAAAATTATTGCTGTTCATATAAATAAATGTTTTGATCAATAGATTGCAATCGATTTTGTTCAAAACAAAAGTTGAAAACGATAATATTCCATTTCATGTTGAAATACTTCGAATTTGTTGAATAAAACGCGGAATAAGTATAAATTTATAAAAAGACGTGAAATAAGCAGGGATGCTTTTTCTTACCACTGCGTGTGTAAAGTACAAACACGTCCCGGAGGAAGGTGAGCATTGCTTGAAACATCAATGAATCCAGAAGCACACGTGCAAGTATAGCCATCAGGTAACGTTACACAGTCCGCATTCTCATCGCATGAATTGGCCAACTTATTTTCGCATTGATGCTGCGCTGAAACTAGCACTCAGTTAGAGAAAAGTATTCGTGAAAAGGGGAAACACTTTCTGAGACAAAGAAAGAATTCGAAATATGTAATAGTTTTGGTAGCACTTGCATATAAGCCTTTTTATTTGAATTACAAAAATATAAGTTACATTTCTTTCAAAGCTGCAATTCAACAAATATTTTGAGCAAATTAAGCTCGTAAAAATTATTCAAAATGTTTTTTGCCTGACACCTTACAATATCAGTAATCAAATAATGCACAACTTAAATTAACTTCATAATTTACAAAGCTTACATTGCGCACAGCGCCGCCCAGGTTTCATTCCATAATGTGACGACACATCGGTATAGCCTTCATTACAGTAGCATAAATAGGATTCTAACGTGTCGATACACGTAGCAAAGGGGGAACAACTGTGAGTTTGGCTGCCACACTCATTAATTACTATAATTTAATGTTGATAATTGTAGGTTTATAGGATGTAACGCTTTTTTGCCTTCCTTTAAATATATTTATACAGAAAATTAGAAAATTAAACTGTTTCTAAATAACCAATACTGTTGTCTATTTTTTGAACTTAAAGTGCACAAAAGTAACATTGAATGCATTTTCTTCCAGGCAATCGTAAAGGGTCAGGTGATGCATCTAGAAATCCTGGAGGACATTGACATTTGTAGCTATCATATGTATTCGAGCAAATCGCAGCTGGATCGCAGTCATGGTGTTCTTTGCAACGATTGAATGCTAAATTAAAAAAAGTCACAATCAAATTTTAAACGATAATTATAAAAAATGTCGTAGAGCCTTCACCTTGGATGAAAATGTCATATGCTTTAATGTGACAGAAATTTCAAATTTTCGATAAAGAAAAAATGCTAAAGTAAAGTTACTACGATATTTCTTTTCGTGTAAGAAACTAAATTGTAATTTGTGAAATAATTCTAATGATAGAAGCAGACTTTGACTTCCATTCCAGTGGATGAACAACAATTTTATAATTTAGCATCATTTTTTCTTAAATCTCAAATCATAAATAAATTTATTTTAATACAATTTTGGCTAAATATGCGATTTGAAATTAATTTGATCTATTTTAATTTCAAGTTCTGTGCTACACACATTTTTTCAGAAAACTCTAGATTTTTCTGAAAGCAATTTCGAGACTGAAAAAACTTTAAAATTAAAGAGCTATAAGAGTTAGTAGAGTTTATATTAACTCATGCATCTCCCGTTGGGACCAAGGACACTCGGAGGTGGACATTGACAAAACCGCGTACTTTGCGCATTACCAGAACACATTTGATTCACAGGGCAAGACTGAAGGATCGGATCACAACGATGTTGCTGAAATCCATGAGAAGTTCGATCTCAACAATTAACGCAACATTTACTTAATTCACATCTTGTTCACTTTAGAAAGATTTAAAGGTATGTTTGAAAACATTTAAATCGCAACATTACAATATTTAAATGTTGTTACAATATTAAAAGATTAGATTGCATATTTTATATATTATTAATTTTAGTTCAGTTTGATATATATGTTACATTATAATTTAAAAAACCACTTCCATTTAACATTAATTTATGTCTAAGAAGAATAAGAAGTAAACTTAGTTTATGAATACTTGGCCAGCAATAAACTGCTAGTAGTACTAATATAATTTTTTAAAGCACTTTCAAAATATGTACTGATTGTAATGCTATTCGTCGAGAATCATTGGAGTAAGTAAAGTAAGGATTTTTTGGTAAGATGCACTCTCTACCGGGATAATGAGTCACGTTCATACTTGCGTCTACAAATCCTTCTTTACACTTGCATATATATCTGAAATTATCTGTAGTAATAATAATTTGTTGTAGTCTTCTGCATATAATTAGTTAGTTGAAACAAACAGTTTCAATCATTAAACTTTTAAGTTCGAAGTTTAAAAACTTTCTTTTATAATTTAAAAAACTATATTCAGAAATGTTAAAGATTTCAATCTTAATACAAATTAATGCTAAGAATTATTCATAAACTCTTTCTATCGAAAATTGTTTAAAGAATTTACTTTATTTAAAATTATATAAATTATTTTTTTGATAAAGCAAATGAAAAGCAAAATGTTAAAATTCAGAAAGCTTTTTGCTAAATATCACAATTTGCACAAATTTAAATTTAGCATATCAATAAATTTAAAAAAATTTCCAAACTACAGATTAATAAAGCATCATAAAAAATATTCTTTGTTATTGAAATGCTTGCAACTAATCTGATAAATTTATACGCAGAAATCAGTCTCTATAATTTTGGTGGATTTTTCAATATTTACTTGCTACAAAGATTATTTGATAATTTTTTACTTATTTTGCTACTTTAATAATCTCATTTTTGATTTAAAAATTATTGTGCACTGCGTTTTGGTTCAGTTTTAGAAAATAAGGAAGCGTTTTAAGAAGCTTTTTTTTGTCTTACCCATCCGCTTGATCAACACACACAGCATTTGATGAGCAATCATTGGCGCCAGTTTGACATTCGTTTAAATTTTCTACGCACTGAAATAGTCTTTTTTTGAATTAAAGTTATCAGACTTGACAGTAATGAAAATCTCGAAAAGTTCTATGAAAACTTGCGTAAGAAAATTCGTTTAAAATTATTGGCATGAAAGCAATTTAGTTCTAGTTGAAGAAGGTAGTCAGACACAGCTTTCTATTTATTAATAAAATATTAAGGATTGCCAAATTCTATAAATAAAGCGAACAAAAATAAAAAATAAATAAATATGATTTTTGGGTCTTTTTCTTATTTCAGATGTTGAATTTTTCAATTATAATATAAATTAAAAATTTGAATTGTCATGTGAATTTTAAAGTTTCGAGATAATATCAAATATAGTCATTCAAACAACTGATAAGTTGAAATTGGATATTTTAAAATTTTACTTTTCTTCCAGGTAAAAGCGAATAATGAGCACTTATATCCGTGAAACCTGGATTACAAACACAAGTGAAACTTCTATCTGTATCTTGGCATGAAGCGTTTTCTGAACAGTCAATGCTATAACGACTTGGATCAGCACATTCGTTTATTTTTTGCAGGCATATTCTACCAGGTTTACCCTTTGGATTCTCCGATACATCAGCATAACCTGATTCGCATTCACACGTGTAACCTTCAATCTAAAATGTTGTAGAGAAAGTGAACTTGATTTTAATAATGAAAATCAATATAACTTGGATAGCATACATTTTGTTTTAAACGTAATGTGCTGAAATAGAGATTGGAAAATATTGGATATACTAAATGATCTTACAAAAATTTTTCTAAAATTTTAAAGTGAAATTTTTTTGTTAGTCTGAAATTCTATTTTGTTTGAAACTGTTTCATTGAAACGAAATATATTTGTTTCTACATTTATTCATTTTTTAAATGTGAGCAATAATTGTCACTATTTAGTCACACGCACCAAGAAACAGAGAAACTACTCATTTCTTTACAAAATTGATCTACAGGAGCGGATCTGCTACTATTTATGACCTCTTGCAAGCAAGTAACTCCAAGAAAAATCAAATGAAAACCTTCATTCTCAGATTTTTATGCGTCTGATACTTGCGACTGAATAATTAATTAATTAATTCAAAAAATGTGCATAAATATATAATATATTTATATTTGCAACCAACTGATTCTGTCTTAATTTGTTTTCTATAAAATAGTTTGTAATTATTCCTTCAAAGTTTGCTCATCCGAAATGGACTTAATATTTTTAAAAGCTTTTAATAATATTTATTAATTTGCAAAAAGTTGGTTCTATTAACAATATAAATCAGAGCAAAGTAATTTTTAATTTCGAGATCTATGCAATAATTTAATTAGTTAACAAAGCAAGTAAAATCAGGTTTTACCTGATTATCTTTATTAAAAGGTACTCAAAATATTTAGTGCAAATTAGATCAAGTTCTTTATTAAAGCTTTTGCATTATTTGCTTAAACGTATTAATAATTTCTAAATGTTTATTTGATCCAAAATTTACAGCGAGAAAATTGAAGTCAATTTTTTCTTGAAATTAAATTACATTAGTAATATGCAAAAGCAATCATTGCAAGTATTTACAACTTTATGCATATTTTTGAAAATTTTCAGGTTTGTGGTATATCTAGAACTGGATTTTCATCAAAACATATATTTTAGAAAGTTGTTTGTTTACTAATAGTGCACATTTCAATTGCATAATTTCATGAATTATAAAAAATATAAAAATACAGCGGATCACTTCTCAAGAGAAAACTCGCTGTACATTTTAATTTTGAAATTAAATTCTTAATTAGTTGTTATAGTTCTAAAAATCCGGTTAGTATTTAAAAGATAAGTGGAACGAAATTACAACAATCCAATTCAAAGTCTTAGAAGTATAGTAATAATGGAGTAGTTATGTTAGGAGAGTTATTTGTTAATACTTGATACTGTGCAATTTAATTGTATTAATCCCAACAGTTATTTTCTTACAGCTGTTTTACTAATATCTGTCTTCATTTTATTCCCACTAAATATCTATTTAATGTTTGCCTCTTTTAAATATATATTTAGCATTTGTCTCTTACATTAACCGAAAATTATCATTTCTTTGAGTTCCTAAACAATTAGCTAAGTTCTGATTATGCATTTGATATATAGGCCTCGGATCAAGCACAAATAAAACGACTCAAAAATTTGTTTTGAAATATCAACAACTTGTTAAATACTTCAAAAATTGGAAAAGATACATTTTTATCCTATTTATTTTTTTGACAATAACCAATGAATACGTCATAAGTTCAATTTAGTAAATCAGTAGGTCGAGTCTGGCTTGATTAGAAGTTAAATTGACCTGGTCGATGCATCTTGCATTTTCATGACAATCATTCAGCCGTGGCTGAGTACATTCATTGATAATAATGCATCGACCGCTGGTACTTCTGCTAATGCCCTGAGGACAGTCACATCTATATACACCATCTCTAAAAATGCAAACTTCGTTTTTGTTTCGATCACATGACAATGGATCGTCAACCCGACATGACCCAGATCCAACTGAAATTTTAATTTTAACTAATAATAATAATAAATGAATAAACAATTTGAAATAAAAAATCATATCAATATGCACAAAATTATTTCATACATTCTAAGTTAATTGGCAATAAATTCGAATTTTAATTTGACTGCTTTTTTCTACATAATTTTATGATGAATAAAAACAGTCCTCATCTGAATCAGTAATCATTGAAATATGAAGAAGTGTAAAATCAAGACACTTATTATTATTAGTATTTTATCAATGCTAATTTTAATAATATGAAATTGCTAGTTATGGCAAATTTTTAATGAAATCAATCACTGCTTACCATATGAAGCTGATTCTGCCCATAAAGGTAAAAATGCATTCTGAATAATCATCAAAAAATGCATAAATTTTCGTGCCTCCATATTATAGTTTATTCTACCTATAATTTCAAATTCATCAATAATAAGAATTACTCAATTTTCCACGTTTAGAGTTTTCAAGATCACATAAACATGTCAATAATAAATTTAAATTCAAAGAATGAAAGCCGACGAGAGTTTCGCTCATTTTTGTAACCTTGTATAACAGCAAAAAGGATTTCGGTTACATAATTAATAATTATAATAATTAATAATTACAATAAATAATAATTATAATTATTGAATTTTCAATTTTGTCCATAATGGATTTGGCAGTGAATGAATTACGAAAAAAAAAAACCAAATTACAGAATTCATTGCTTTTTTTCAACCAAAAGCAGTTTTTCTTTTACAAATAAAATTTATTTTATCAGAAAAAATAAATAGTAAAAAATAAAATAGTAAACAGAACTGCAAAATGAGTACTTTTAATGATGTAAAAACCGGTTCAAATGTTGATTGGCTTTAAACTTTTTGTGGTCATTTGAATTGAATTTTTCTTGTCAAGAATTTTATCAGATTCGAGTGATAAGCACAAACAATACGTACATTGACTGAAGAATCTTGCTATTAAAAAAATTCGTTTGTTTTTAAAAAGTGTCTGCCTTACTAATAATGCAATAAATATAGTTTGCTTCTGCGCTTTTATTACTTATTTACGTATTGCTATCAGCATCGGATACTTGCTACCATCGGTAATAAATTCTTCATTTTATTGTGCACTGTTAAATTTGTATTATTTGCTTAATTAATAAGATTAGTTAAGATTTCGCACTAATTTTAAAGATTTTAACAAGTCTGAATTTACTTTTTAATCAAATTTCTAAATTAGAATTTTATTTGTGCAAATTATTACTCTCTCACAAACCAGTTCATTATTTGTGTAATCAAATAAAGTATTTTCAGCGTACACTACGTTACTAACTTCACAATATTTACCAGATTTACTTATGAATCGCATGTACAATCACACTAACAAATTTCATTGATTAATTGACCCATTTAAATTCTTAATTACTTGAAAAAAAATAAAGCATACATCAAACACAGATTTTACAAGCCAAATATTAAATTTGTAACAGTACTAGTATGAAGGTCGCCAAATATAAAGTTCACATGCTAACCACAGCATAAAATTAAGAATTAGAAAGGAAGTTTTGGAAGATAAATACAATTTCTCAATTCTGAAAGTAAATGTAAATTTTGCTGCTTAAAAAGTTCGCAACTATTCTTACATATCAATTACTCACATTGTGTATGAGATGGTTTCTGAATAAAATCTTGAAATCAATCACTGCGATTCCTTTTTAGGCAACTCGAATGAGTCATTTTTGGTAGTTTGTTGAATTCTTTACTTTTACTTTTTTAATGCCAACTAGTTTTGTGATTAGCGTATTTGCAAGCAATTTATAAATTTTAGCAGTGATTTTAAAAAATTTCTTACGATCACATAAATTATCATTTTTTTATCGCAATTATTTTTGATGGAAATATGAGAAATAAAGAGAGCCATTTCCAAGAATTTGAAAAATTTTGTAAAAATATCCATATTTTCTGGAAAATGAAAATAGGAAAAAGTAATGAAATGAACTAAATGAAGTAGAATAATATGAAAGTAAACCATTTTTGTAAGAAAAACTTGCATAAAAGTTACTTTCCTTAACTAAAAGTATTTAATTATTATTCGATTTTTAAGTAAACTAAGTTGAAAAAAAAGACTTTATAAAAATTAGAAAATGATTACTGCTAAAAAAGAAATGTTGCAAACGAATAGAATTCTGAATTCTGTAGAGTTAGAAAAACGAATTAAAATAATAGTACGCAAATGATATAAAGGAAATAATCAAATGTTTTACATTTTCAGGCATATTTGGAACTTATTAATTACATCGATACTCTATTCAAATTTTAATTCAAAGATTTAACGGATCATTTTGATAATCAATTTCAGCGGACAAATTTCAGCCCTATTCTGAAATTAAAAACGTAGCAAAATCATCAATTCTAAAAGAAAAATTGAATTGCATAATAAAATATAAAATATATTAAAATTTGTAGAGGATTTTTGAGCAAATGAAACATTTATAACTTTTAATTTTGTTTGAATAGTTTTAATTTTAGCAGCTATTCTCAAATAAGTGAAAACAAATTGAAGCAAAAAAAAAACATTATTTTGATGTTCATAATTTGTCTAATTTGGTTTATGCTAATATATTTTATTACTAATTTTGCATTTAATCAAAATTTAATTAATAATTGTAAGCACTTGCTTTCATTTCAAATTTATGCTTAATACTGACTCTAGCTGCTAATTTAATTTAATTAATATCTAATGCTAAAATAAAGCTGTATGAATGCTGCGCTCGTTACCATTAACTTGAAGTAGCAGAATAAAATTACAATTATGTAAACTTTTTGCATTTATATCTAAACTATTATTTTAATGTGTCAAATGCAATCAAATAATTATTCCTTCCCATCATTTCAGTCAACATTTATAACAGATCTTGTAAACAATATTCATTTATTTTTTTAAACAGTGAAATTTTACCAAAAAAGTGATCATTTAAAATGCAGATATCCAGTCGATAAAATCAAGAGAAAATAGTTTACTTATATTTTTGCCATAACTTTGTGGAAAAAGTTTCAATGTTCAAAACAGGTTCTTCTTCTCATTTACTTATTGAACTACCTTGTTTGTGATTCAGAGAAGGGTAAAAAAATCATTTCATTTTGATAAATTTGCTTAACATAACTTGTGAAACAGGAATACAGCTCAGAAGTACTCTGAATATAATGTGTAACATTAAAAGTAACAATTTTTATAATTTATGATTATTACGCATATATTTCCTTAACTAATGGATAGACAGATACATAATGATCATGAATTTAACAAGTAAAATTTTTCTCATTGAAGTCGAATGGTTTCAGTTTTTAAGAATGCATTCTTACTTGAAGCAAACTTCAGGCATATCGAATAACACTGATAAGTTATAAATTGACGTAGTAAACGCGGAAAAAAAAATACGCGATAGAATAACAGTTTCAAAAGATAAAGGTCAATGATGAATTTTTAGGTTCATTCTTATGTGATTTTAACAAGAATTGTGAGTGAATGAATGTGCGATGGATGGTTTAGAGGTAAAAATTACAGAAGGAAAGTAAATGCTTGAAAAGTAGAAATTATATTTAGCAAACTGAGTAAGTTTTATGACAGTGTCTTAGCTTTACCTTTGCAAACATTCATCACTGACATAAATAAAACGCCAAAGAGAAGTTTTTGAGTTTGTACTAAACATCTGGTTTGTACTAATTCAATTTCAGATAAGTAAGTAAGTGAACAAGTAGGTAAGTAAGTAGTCAGGTAAGTAATTAAGTAGGCAGGAGAGTAAGTAAGTAACTAAGTTGAAAAGCTCGTAGCAGCAATGCTCACTTGTACTCCAAACAAGTAGTAAGTTATTTTGTAAAAAATTAACTTTAATGAAATTCAAGCCATCTCTTTTGGCTTTTCAGTACAAATTTTATAATTCAACTTGAAAGAAAAAGCCTAACTTCTATTCTTCTGAAGTATCTTTTGAACTTTCATCAAAATCAAATTAGTTTATCACACTATTTTTTTTTTTTCAAATAATAAATGGTAATATTTGATGCACGTATATGAAAGAAATCAAATTTTAATTATTCGCTTAGGTAATTTAAGAAAAAACAAAAATGCAACTAAATGATATGGTAATAATTAAAATGACTCAAATAATAAAAACAATAAAGATTTCAACAGAAAAAAATCAATCAGTCAATCAGATTTTTAATTTATTTAATTATCTTTGAAAGGTTCAACGTTGTGCCCATCATCTAAAAAAGATGGAACCTTTTTGTTCATACTTTTTTTGATTATCAACAAGATATCATTAAGAACGCGTAGTAAATGTGCATTTTCTATCCATTAACCAACAACTTAAGCGCAACTTTTTGTCTACTTTTTAAACAAATTTTACAAATCGCAATTAAAAATTTTGCGGTCTAACAAAATTATTTTAATTAATGTTTTGCTTAATTAATAATAAATTGTGTGAGCATACTTTCAGAATTATTGTAATTAATCAAGACAACTATATGAAATACAAATAAGAAATTTTCAAGAACTAAAGTCTGAACTGAATATCAAGAATAAACGCTATCAGATGCAACTTCCTAATTTATCAGTATGAAATTTGACAGAAACAGGTAAACAATTCACAAATTTAAGCGCAATTTTTAAAAGTTTGCATTTGAAGTTGTTAAATCAACAGTTGCTACTTCCATGCAACTGTTGATTTAATAACTTCAAATTGTATAACTTTTTCATCGGTCGAGAAACAGAATCTATGAATCACTAAAACACTCAAGTAAACATAAAGAGAATTAGTTAAAAGCAGTACTAGATGAGTAA